TAATGTTATTCACTGTTAGTCATTCCCCCCTTCTTCATTCTCACATTACCCAAGATGTCACACTGACCTAAGTCCTTGCTTATCAACGATTTGTTTTTTTTTTATTCATACCAGCCAGTGAACATTTGTTTAGAGTTTGGTATTAACATCAATCTAATTAAAATTAGATGTTCCGAATCCGCTACCAGCGGTAGCGGATTCGGAACATCTAATTTTAATTAGATTGGTATTAACATTAACCTTGAATATGATTATTTCTTATAAAAAATGAGGACATACATGTAATGAGGGAAGTTAAGAAATGATTCGTCACCCCCCCCCCCCCCCTCAATCGTTGATGAGGTTCCCTTAACTATTCAGGAAGGTATTCTTGTAGGTAACTATATATTGCATGGGGAAAGTATAAATAGGAATTTTTAAATGAATTGTGAATGTACCCTGGTAGTATGACCAATATTTTCAAACAAAATTCTTAACAAGATCTGCATGTACTCTCCATTGCAGAGAACTTTATAGTCCACACTCTTTCTTGCAAAAAAAGACGTTAGTGTCAGTTCATCCTAAATATATAATTTTTAGAAAAATACAGGGATATTAGCCCCCCCCCCCCCCCAAGTTTTGCCTTTATATTCTTAATTATGGAAAACAAAGCTAATTTACAGCTGTGTCTCCTCAATAATTTTCCAGTATACATGTACACTATAAAGGGAATCGATTGTTGACTAACATGTTGCATGCCAAACGTCATGACATTGAGTATTCATTTCTAGCATGGGTTTTGTTTTCGTTTACTCAATGAATACAAAGGGCTCAGAGCGGATGAAACCCTTTACTATACAATATACTTAGCCACCTGATTCTTCCTCTGGAGTTTCCTTTGGTTATTTTTATTTGGCCCTGTTCTAGATTTCTATCGTTTTTACGATTTATGACGTTTTCCACTGTTTGTTATTTTCATTTCTTTTATTATCATGTTACCTCAGATGATATCACACGGAACTTACTTATCAACGTTTTGCTTTTTAAATTCATTTTTGCCAGTAAACATTTGGTTAAGAATTGGAGCTAACTTTTACCTTGACTGTGTACAAAAAATAGTATAGACTGTTAAAATTTCGAAATGACTTTCTCAATAAAAAATCATTTTGTGGGAAATGAAGCCAGGCAATGATGACAGGAAATGATGTTTCTATTTATTTAGTGCTTTTACCTTAGAAAACCTTTTATACATTTTTTAACAAGTGACTTGAACTGAATTTACAAATGCCATGTACATGAACTACAGTGTATTAGTGACGTTATAAATGCACTATCGGTATTTTAAAAGAGTTGGTAATGTTGTTGATAGATAGTTTGTTAACTCTGATCACATAAGTCAACTATCAAAAAAAAAAAACAAAAACAAAACAAAACAAAAAAAAAAAAAAAAAACGGGGTGCGCATTCAGAAAGGCTTATCTGCCACCATCAAAAGTGCATTCATTTAGAAGAATTTTCTTAAAGAGAATAATCAATTACATGTGTTTATTTATTTATTTATTTATTACTTTTCAAACGATTTTGTATTATTTAAGAATCAATAAATTGGTAAATTGTCTGTTTTGAAAGAAAAAAAAAGATTTAGTTACATATCAAAATACTTCATTAGTCATAATTGGTTTGAAGAAAAAACATTTTATTCATGTTAGATATAAGTGCATGTGCAATTTGAGGATTTAAAACGTATGGCCTGTAAATTTTGACAATATTTTTTTTCTTGAATTGTCTATTTCATTGGGGAGAACTCTTGTTCTAAAGCATTCGTGTAGTTTGAATAAAAAATCTAGTTTTCATCAATTCCTTTATCAGCTTGAATTCGAGCATCCTTTCTTTAAATGTAAAGATATTTACATATATTTCAAACAGTCTAAGAAATCACAAGAAAAGCTTATATATTAAGGGTTACTTTAAATATCTTATTACGTTTTATATCATGTATAAACTTCATGTAAAATAGTATAAGTTTAGCAATGTTCTTCAGATAGTGAAGAGGGATTTGATTCACATGGTATAGATAGTTTTTGATAAACTGGATTTTAGAAAGAGGTACTTGTCCCTGGTTGCCATAGAAAAGGTCTATGTGTTCAGATCCTTCGTTATTTAAAAAAAATAATAAACTTGTCAGACTAATAAGCATTGATGTGTAAGCCTCCTTAAATTCATATTTTTAGTATTTTAATGATCTTTTTCCTCATTTTCCCGCTCAAAGAGAAAAAAAAAATTACAAGGTTAACCTCAAACAGGGGAGCCAAGGGAAATAATTTGGAGGTAAAATATATCATTCGAAACCTGTCTATTGCGTAAATGATATTTCTTATTTCGTTCTTTTAAAGCAATATGTGCTTAAAAATGCGTTTTAATTATCACATTTGCATAGAAATATCTATACCTAGTATTAACTCACATGCGTTGTTTTAGCTTTATTTATCATAAAGGTTTAAGATAAACGTACGTAATATTAACAAACTAGCACATTTTTTTTCCAGCATAATAATAATTCACAAAAATGCAATTTATTTTGCTTAAGATACGTGTTTATCATTGTAGGCGCACTTTCAACTTCGATCGTTCAATGTCCGTTGAATAAAATGGAGTGGGAAAACAGATCAAACACATTATTTTGTCAAGGGAAAGACGTTTATCATTGTCTTCTCATGGAAGATACACTCTCGAGGAAGGAAAAATGCATTGAAACAACTATGATAGGCAACGGTTGGGATGAAAGCTTATAAATACTTAAGAAACACGTCAAGAAAAAAGTTATCTGTCTAAGATAATCTCTATCTTCAACAATCCAAAACACTGTTTTTTTTCTTTTTGTGAAAACGAAAAGGGAAATTATATTATATAAATTTTAAGAGCTTATAACATTTTATAATCAGTGGCAGCCATATAGTATATATGTAGCTACATATATTTTTATAAATTTGTACAATTACTCGTATTCAATATATGCAGGGTTTTGCCCAATATTGACCACAACAGGCTACCTACATTGGAGCCTATGCAATGTGACAGGGTGCCCAAAAGAGAGGTACCGAAGTAATGAGGTCTACAAATGTAAGAATCAACAGTAATATTGTATTCCTCTTACGATGGATATGCTAAGAGTTTGCAGTTTTCTCTCAGATTATCTTTACTTAACCTCGTATTATATCCAAATTTGGTAGTCATGTTTAACTATAAATTCGAATGGTTTAAATTCAAAAGTCAAAACATATAATAATGTATTTTAAATTTATTTAGAATTTAATCGTGCGAAAAAGGGATCATCGAGCATGTCAAAATTTCGTCCTTTACATGTCTATATATCTCATATCTCGTGTCATTTCTCTGTAAAATGGCACAAAAACGACAAATTTCATATGCCGAATGGTGACTAAATATTTTGCTTCGTTGAAAAGAAATCAATTTCAGAAGATACTAGTACGTAGTTCTCATCGAAAAAGGAAAAAAAAAAAATAGAAAGAAAGATGACTGCGGAACATCACGGAGCATGCAGCGACTCCAAAAACATTTTTTGTAGCACTCGGGAAAACTCTGAGAAGTGCTGGGGGAAGCAGAATATATTTTTTAGTGAACTGTGTATTTGTGTGTAAATGGCACAGGGGGTTGTTGAGTGATAGAGACTCAGCATCAGACGATACTAGTATACGATCTGTGAGGAAAAGAACTATCGGTAAAAATTTTATCAAGAGAGTAAATAACGTCATCGAAAGAAAGGTTGACGCTAGTCTCTACTGTTGCGAACGTTGTGAAAGCAGAGTTACCCGGTAAAAAAATGAAAATACTGACAAACAAACATGCCACTTAAAAAATCGTGGGCAAGGCGTCACATAAGTAATAAGGCGCAGGCGCATTGTTCACAAACGCCGTCGCGCTAACACAAAATGTCACACAAACAATAGGTCATCGCGCTAGCACACAGCACTCCACCACGCAAACGCGTTATAATCAGGATACCATACGTCAGACAGTGTATGAAATGTGTACGAGAGTATTTTTGAGAAACTTATTCCATTATGTTTTTTGACGTTACAATGCTGTAAAGTGTGCTCCGTGGTAATAAAATATGTTAATTTTAGAATTAAGTAGCATTTGTTCCATTTAATAATATGGAATGAAGCTAAAAATGTTGATCTAATATTTCTTGTTTATAACATGAAAAAAGATTGACACTGTCCGCAAACTTTTCGAACAGCCTTCGTATTTGAATGTTGGTAAAGCACGTTCTTTATTATTGTTAATCTCCCAGCGAGTATTATGTCTTAAACTAAATAACTGCATTATCCTTGCAGATCCTTTATGTTTTGGCGATATAAAAGATACAGACAATGAGCAAAAGGGGTAAGAAAAAAATGGATAAAGGTAATATTTTCACCTGTGATTGAATATTTGTCTATGGAACGTTTCAAAATATAGTAAAGTGAGTTAAGGGAAACAATCCTTCTCGCAGAAGATGTACTGAAAGTTAAATCTCTGCATTATTGATGTGATTTTGAAGAGGGGGGGGGGGGGATTCAATGAGATAATGGAAGCTGAGCCTCCTACCCTTGTAGCAGCTTTTGAAGTATTAAAACGTATCCTGTGTCGGTTAAATCTAACAGTGACTAAATAATTGAAAGGCAAAGTCAACATTTCGCAAATTATATGTTCGATCAATGACGTTGTTTACAAATACAACCTTTATTAAGTCGAATGTTGACTGATGCATTTAATACAAATATACAAAAAAAAAGTAAGGCTATTAATTCATACTGAATTATCTACGGATTATTCCGTTTACCACATCGTGACAATGGGCACACGGCTGGTGTGACCGATTGACGTGGGGAGGTGGGGGGGGGTGTCTTACTTGGTGACACTTTATCCAACTTTTTGAGGTTCTCAGAGGTCTGTGTTTACTTTGCTTATTTTGTATTGTTTGAATGGACTTTTGAGCTTGATTACTGTTACTCGATCATGGCCATTGGCCCATTGGCACACTGCTGGTGTAACCGGTTGACAGGTATTGCTTACTCCTACGTGGCACTTGATCCCACCTTTGAGGTCTTTTTTTGCTCTGCTTATTTTTTGTTGTTTAAATGGAATTTTAGCAAGATTACTGTTTGTCATTTTCACATTTAATTCTTCAGAAGATATGCATTTAAAATATATATAACGTTCTACATTATGCAAATTTCTTATCGTTGATCTAATGTCTTGTAACTCGAATTATCTAGTTATATTCTTTTTTTTAATTGACAGAGAAGACAAAGCCTTTCCTTTACCTATCACCATACCATCAGGGATTGTATTACTTATGCTAGTTGTGGTTATTACTATTATTACATGTAAAGTTTTGAAGAGGAAACGACAGACCCCTAAGCGTAAGTATATAACTGATATCTTAAGATAACCTGCATCCTTCTAATTCCTAAATGAGACGTAGAAACACCGAATCAAGCACCGGTATCATTTAACGCCACATTTACATACTAGCACGCTTATTATTGTATACCTTTTTTAATTCTATACCTTGATATGATTATTTCCTTAGTGACATTTTACTAATCTGAAATTCTCTTGCCATGTATTTTTCTTAATACTTCAAAATCATTTTTATTTAGGCATTTTTACGTATATTTGATGGCAATTACCTTTTCATTGAAATAAACAAACAATAATCATATTAAATAAGGATCACCCTCGAAGACGTAACAATTATGATGTACAGTATACAGATGATTCCCATAATAAATAAAATCACCGATATCATCCAGTCAGCCAATGAATATTTTGATTATTTGTTGCTTAAGCCTCAGTCAGATTTCCCGTCCGGTGGCCGTAGACCGGTGGTAATCGGTGGTGTGAGCGATGCCCCAACATGGTCCTCATCGGCTAAGTAGTCCTTAACATCTTTCACAGCAACAGGCATACCCCCGCCGATGATCGTACGGCAAGTGACTCCAGAGGAAATCATTTTTGACGGGCGTGGCACCGATTACAGGCCAGACATCGACCCGACATCGGATAGTTTTCACCGATCATCCTACAATGCTCGGCCGGTAACGCTCATAAATTGGTGAACATCGTTCGTACTTCAGTCGACTATGGGTCAATGTACGGGCAAACATCGACCGATTTCTTCTGAGCTTTACAATACCATCTTGTTATTTATCCATTACATAAATGCCTTTCAATTACACACAGTTTCATTTACTTAAAGCATATATCAATTTTTGCAGGTCCTTCTGGATTTTCTTATCTCAAAACTGGTGATAGTGAATCAGCAAAAATGATTGAAAACCGTAAGTATAAAATTTAAACAGATATAACAAGAATATGTCCTATGTTCCTAAGTCTATTTTTTACAATTCCGATTTTTTTCCTTTTCATTCTTCAATACAAAAAAATATTAAGAAAGTATTTGGAACTGAATCAAAAGTAAAACGATTTCCAATAGATCATCAAGATATAAATGTGTTCTTTTATCTTGGAATCGCAGGATTACGGGATACCATCGACGCTGTAGCAATTATGATAAATAGTGTACGGATAGGTTTAATAATTGAATGCTATTAAATATGCACAGTTTAAATTACCCAAAGCATATGTAATTTAAAAAGAATTTAAATGATAAGAAATAAATCCTGTCTGCAGGTCCCTCTAGTTTCCGAGGAAGGAAGTTTATGAGCGTGAATAAGAAAATCTTTTAAAAAAAACGTATTCTAATTATAATAAAAGTCAGATATAGAGAAATATACATTCTTTTTTAAGCGGTCTTTTTTATATTACATGTACATTTCTTTATATTATTTGTATGATTTAAGGAAGCAGTGGCATTTTTCGCATGTATTCAAACTTCAAACAAAGCAAACTGGGGGTGTTATATTTTTTTCATTGTAATTTAAATTCAAAATTTTCTTCTTTAGCTGAGTACATAAGAAACGGTATTCACCAACTGAAATCAAGGAATAAACTTTACATCATTGGACAGCTTGGAAACTCTGTCTCCACATCAGGGAAAAAAATAACTGAAGAATACGCAAATAGTAATAACATGAGCTACGAATACTATAATTACTTAGACATTGCAAAGAAATTTTCGGAGCTTCGCCCTGAAAAAGTTTTTAAACTCAACACTGCAAATTTCATTGATGGATGGGGTGGATTGTGGAATGAAAATCCATGCGAAAAACAGATCACTTTCGACACGATGGTCAAAGTCGTCGAACAAAGCCAAACAATTGAAAAATTAAAGTTCGTAATTGGGCTTCGCACAGAGATAGGAAAAGAATTAGAAAGACGTGGGATTCAAATGGAAGAACATGAAAAGCTATTGCTTGACTGCAGCTCTATTTACAAAAGAGAAAAAGTAAAGGAAGAAATAGAAGTGCTTCAAAACTCTTGTTCAAATGAGAAATGTGGTTGTAAATCATTAACGTATGAACGGGTTTCAGGAATCAATCAAGTACCTATCGGAAATTATCTTGTCGTTAGATTAATGAGTTTAGATCATACAATGATACTGGACTTTTTAATGAGAGAAGTAGGCCCTCTAGAGGCAATGCGCAACCACTTTGAAAAGTTGATGGAAGAGGGACAAATTTGGCAATGGCTGCCGTATTTTGTTTGTTTGGGTTATTATGACAAAGACCAATTTAGACACGATATTGCAGATGGATTCAACATTTCACAATCCATGTTTTTGCATTGTGAAAGCATTGCTAAATACATAAAGCCAAAGAAAGAACTTGCTCCGTTGTGGTCAACAAGATTCTGTTGTGATCCTCATGTAAAGAAACAAGACAACAACCCAAGTGACGTAGTCGTCTTTTGGCATACCTTTCTCTACATCTGTGCTTTTCATGCTTGCTTCAAAAAGTACCCTAAACAAATGCTGCGCTTTTGTAATTTAGATGCAATTCTTCAACTTGTCCGTCCTAAAGATTATCATGACCCTCTCACCATTGTAGCAGATGATAAAGAGGTAGATTTCTTTTATAATGAAAGATTAAAAAACCGTGCAATTGTCAGCAGTTTGTCGGAGCATCCACTTGTTAAAGAGCGGAGGAACCGAAGAAAGAGCAGAGGCATAAAGACGCTGTTTAAGAAACATGCTTAGATCACCTGAGACACAATTTTATAGAGTTTATGTTATGGAAATTGTTGCGGTGTGATTTGGATATTGTCTTTGATATTAATTTTAAAAATATTTATTTTGTCACTCTAATTGTTATTGTACATACAGGGCTTTAATCAATAAATTAGATGTTGTACAAGGTGAGGCAATTGGAGTAGAGAGTAAAAGAGCTTGCGAAAAAAAAATTCCAAAGAACAACAGAGTAACTTTTTTAACTTCCCACTAAATTAGGGTCAGGGAGTGCATATTTTACTAATTACAAGGTAGTATTTTTTGGTGAAATGGTGGGGTTATCTTTTAAAACATCATGTAAAATGATTTTTATTAAAACTGATTATTTCCATACAGTACAATGAGACCGCTAGGGCCATTGATTTTTGCCTGCAGTAAATTGTTCGGATTTTCATATTGGGCTTCGATGGTCATATCCAGAGAAAACTCGTGGAGCTTAGGTGACCACCAATGCCCGTGGTCCTCTTGCTTTCAAAATCCTTGTCTGAAGTATTTTTGTGGTTTGTAGGTACCAGAAAAAAGGTCTGAGTGACTTTTTTTTTCAGTAGTATCGCTAGCTAACTGTGGATCTTTCTTTATATTGGACAAAAAAGTATATGGATCTCATGTGATTTCATTTCATTATTTAGGCTTTGTAGTTTAAAATGTCTTTGTAAACTTTTATTAGTTTTCAATATCATTTTCGTAAGAAACAAATTACTAGTATTTCTTTAAAGAGGTTGGATCCTGCTATCAAAAAATATTAAGATTTTTTTTATCAATTATTTTTTTTTTAATCTAAACACATCGCTTTCTTAAAAATCAAAACAATAAATTGGGATCAGTCTTTTGGCACTAAGGAGAATTATATATGACATTTTGCACTGTAATTACTAAATTAAATCTAAAACCCCAGTTACATTTCCAAAAACGACTAGCGGTCGACGTATTCTGAGGCAAATAAGGAATTCTTTGATCGACAGTCGCTCGATGATCAGTCGACGATTGGCTGATTATGAATATTTAAACTTTAAAAGTCAACGGAGTTCCTAGGAATTGATGTGACTGCTCCGGCCGATCATGTTTTTGAGCCGACGATACGAGAAAAATTTCACCCGACCATCGGCTTAAATGTGACCCAGGTATAACACACATATCATTTTTTTTCATGATTTAGTATAAAAATTCCTACTCAAGGCAGCTTTCCACGGCGCTTTTTGTTACAGTATGGGCAAAATCTCCCACCTTCCTTTATTCAAAAGAGAATTGAAGTCCAAAAGTAAGATTTAGATCCACACCATCACGGGATAGGATTTTTCAGTGTGTGCAGTTTATATTTATTTTTTTCAATGTCAAATAATTTCCCCTACACTCATTTTGAAACAAAAGCCGTTGCTATGGGCCTGTTAACTAAGGAATATTTTTCAAAGTAATTTGCAAATACACAAATCTATACTTGTACATGTACAAACCTCTTTATGTCAGTTTACATTTCTGGAAAATGGTGTACCGTAAATATGAAATTCCTGTATAGCAGGTTCACTCTGAGAGAAAAACTTTTTATTAAATTAAGCATTGGATTTTTATATTTGGAAAGATGTAGTAGTTGCAATGGTGTGTACAATCAAAATGAGTAACGCGCGTTAGCGCGTTATTTAAGGGAATTTTTAAAAGCATATTTCATGATTTTCATGAAGAACGCTAGCCGAATGCCGAAGCTTTCCACACATAGTCACTTGAATGGCTTTTTTTAATAAATAAATTTGAACTGCTTCATAAAGAAAGAAGTGAAACATTAACAGTATCACATGGAAAGTACATCGAGTATTTTGGGATATAATTTTCCAATGGTGTTGTTGATTAGCAACAAAATAATATTTATTTCAAATAAAACTGAATTATTTTGAATTAGCAGTCGTTTAAAAGGCTTCTATATTGCTTTGTTTGTTTTTTTTTTTTTAAATTTAATTTCCTGTAGTGAAAGGAAAAGAAAAAGATTGTTAAAAAAGACGAAAATCTGAAGCACAAATTTTGCACTTGATGACCTTTGGCCTTTATTGTCTCCAAAATATTAATGAAAGTTACTGCTAAAAACCCAATAAAACGTGTCTGTGAATTTTTTTTTCAAATAATTTGCTATATGCTAAGCATAATGCTTTTTTATTATGTTTGTCTTGTATGGAGGTAGAAATGTGAATTTTAGTTAAAATTGAACTGTGGGTATTGTTACTTAGCAACCAAATATTCATATATCAATTAAATTGATTAATGTGATTATGATGTTTTAGTTGTATCTAAGTAGGCTCATCCGCACATATAATTAGAATTACCTATTTTGGATTCTAATCTAGTTAGAAGTGTCTTCGTATTGATATTCAGGAGAAAATCATATAAAAATAATCTGCACTTATTTGAATCTTGACCCCATAAACCTCATAAAGGTCAAGGCATACCTGAAATAAACTTATGGTAAAATTGTTCCCTATCAAATTCGGACAAAATGATATGCCAAATACTTTCTCTTAAACAGGGTACATATACTTTAAAACCATTGTATATATAAAGTAGTATTCACTTGTTCATCACCTGTATAACGAGTAGTTGATCTTGATTAATAGAAACTCGTTACTTGTACTTTTGTACATTGATCATTTAAGTCAGAAACTAGCAAATATACAACATGAGCAATATCAACGATTCGCCTTTAACACCAACAACCCATGGCTAAAAGAGAAATGTTGATCAAAATGTGAGCCCCTTTGAGGTGGCGGATCATGTGGGTGCTCCTGCGCCTCTACGTATACGACGAAGAAACTCTTTTGACAATTCATTAGCTTTTGCCCAAAAATGCTATATATCTCTAATGATATCGTCACATCAGGGTAAAACCTTAAATATCTCAGAATTAGTTCATGCCATGATCAACAGTGCTGATTTAATTCAATCAGCTGTCTCGTCCTTCATTCCAGCCCTTCTGTCACAACTAGAGACACTAATAGCTGAATCTATTCAGCCACTAACTACAAAAATTGACACTGATATTCAAGATCTAATTTCTATTAAATAAGACTTATGTCAGAAAATAGAAACTCAAAATATCATAATTCTAAGCTAAGCTCAGAAAATCAAACTTTAAGGGCTGAGGTGAATACTCTAACTGAAAAAGTCAACAAATTAGAATTAGGACTGGAAGAATTAGAACAGTGTGGGGAGAAAACTCATTAAGGTTCCATGGGGTTCCAATGACTACATCTGAAATAAACAACACCGATCAAATTGTTCTTGGAATTTGCAACGAAATATTGAATTCATCTCCCCTATCAGCCCAGATGATATAAACAGGTCCCATATACTTGAATTCATCCAAAGCGGAAAAACCAAAATTATTTTTAAATTCAGCAACTGGAAAATGAAAATAGGATTTACCGGGCAAATCTGAGTGAAAAAACAATATCAAGAAAACAGAAGTAAATTTATATTTCTGAGGTCCTTACCCGCTCTCGACAAGAAATCATTCAAGAACTATCCAATGGACGTTACTACAAAAAAATACTCATATTATATTGGACCAACGATGGAGGAAGATTTGTAAAGAGGTCTGTGAATTCGCCATAAATCTTGATCAATCACCTCAGTGACATTGCTTGCTTCCTTCCAGAAGATGATCATGTCAGTGATGATGAGACTTCACATTTGGTAAATAGTTAAGTATTTTCCCCAACATATCAGAAAATGCTTTTAAAAGATTAAAAACAATAAAAATAAAACAGCAATGTCTTTTACGATCACTTACATTACTGATTTCGTATGCTGTATATATTTGATGTAAATTTCTAAATTACGTATGAACACACATTTATCCTACCTTCCTTCTAACTTCTTTGCATGCCCATGCTTTGCTCTGGGTTCTTACTGCTCTTTTACTTATCCCTAATTCTTCAACTATTCTCCTTGTTAATGCTTTATGTTTCTTCCTATCTACTATTCTCTCACTTTATGTAAGGGTTAATGTACGACTAGCGTTCCATTCCTTAAAAGTAATGGAGCCGCGGCTCCGAAGGGGCCGAGGCGCATTGCTTTTAAGGAATGGAGTACTACTAGTATATTCACCCGCGTAAAATCCATCTTTTTAAATGCTTGTAATTATTGTTTGTTAAAATATGATAAAGAATATTTATAAGATATACCCTGAATATACATTTTTAAAGCATATAAGTAGTATTTATTTATATATAGAGAGAAAGTAAGGCGAAAAAGTGTAATGAAGTTATTTAAATCAACTGTCATTCAACAGCTTCGATAGCGTAGTGAGATCAGTACCTGACTCCGAAGATGAATGTACCGGGTTCGATTCTCAACAGTGCCACATTTATTTTCTTTGTGTGAAAATAAACTTGTCAAAATTTTCTAAGTTCTTTTCACGGTAGAGGTACGGGAAGGAGAAAAGGAACATACATGTAACAAATTCTGTTTTCAATGTATTTTGCAACTCTCCATTCCAGAAAAATAATGGAGCGCTCAAACAAAAGAGTGATGTCACAGGTAGATTTTACCATTGCGCCATGGCCCCTCTTTACTATTTGGTTACTCAAGCGTTACACTGTATGAATAAAGTCAACATTCTTTTCTGTCCTCGCTGCACGAGAATCATCTTTCTTTCCTTCTTTAGATTTGACCTCCTAGATCATGAGAAATGATCTAATGACATATCGTGCAGCGATTGGAAAATATTACTCTGTGTGTCACAATATAATCATTTAGAGAGAGAGAGAAAAAAGATTTTTTTATTCTAAAAATCGGCAAACTAAAAAAAGAAGTATTGTTTTTCCTATTCAAGGTAGATGACTCGATCAAGAGAAATATACTAAACATTCAATATATTTTCTCCTTATGACTTTGCTTTTGTTTTGTAATGATATTGTGGAAAACCCTGGTCGACAGCTAAACGTAACTGGTCTGTCAGTTTGTCTTCTTAACTGTAGAAGTATACGACAAAAATTAGACAAGATAACCAATTTCTTGAATTGAACGATATTTTATGCTTTACCGAATTATCTTGTAAATACAGAAAATTTAACAACTGAAGGT